CCTAGCTTCACAGCAGAGTATACCGGAGGAATTTGCTCCTGCTTACCTAGAAAACTAGCCAAGGTTTCCTTGACCAAAGTTTCACTGAGATGATCAATAGGAAAGGTAGCGGATACTTCGGTTTCTTTGTCATATGAAGGTCTCTCTGCACCTAGAAAAATGGTAGCTATATACGTTTTAGGCAGCGCATGAATGGCATCTACCTGTTTGGTCATTTTTTGGGTACATATGATGAGAAGACCTTCGGCCAAGGGATCAAGGGTTCCTGCATGGCCTATTTTAAATTTGGGGATCGCCTTTCGAGTCATCCCCTTGATTTTTTTTACCACATCAAACGATGTCCAATGGAGGGGTTTGTAGACGGGTAGTATAACTCCAGATTCTAGATCACTTAGTAAATTCATATTTATGCTTGATGTCTGGTCTTGATTACATCATTTGCAATGTAAATCCAAAATATTTATAAAGAACAATAACGAGAACACCTATTAGTATTCGATAATAAGCAAACATGGTAAAACCATATTTTACTATATAGGAAACAAAAAACTTTATAGCTAATATAGCGACAAGAAAGGCAACTATATTCCCAAAGACGAGGAGGGTGACCTCTTGATTGGAAATAGATTGTGCTCCCAATTTAAGAAAATCATACAAGTCCTTGACTGTAGCTAAAAACATGATAGGTACAGCTAATACAAAAGAGAATTCTGCGGCATCTTTTCTATTCATTCCCTGAAACATACCCCCATAAATAGTAGCTGCGGATCTAGACACCCCTGGAAATATAGAGATAGCTTGAAATAAACCTATAAATGCATAATTCAATGGTTTTAAACTACTCTCATCATTTGTTTTTTTCTTAAAGTAAGATTCTAGATAGAGCATAATAAAACCACCTATCAGCAGATTAATACCTACTATGAGCACACTTCCTAAGGCTTGATCTACATACTTTTTTAGAAGAAAGGCTATGATGACTGTAGGCACTAGCGCATAGGCTATTCTGAAATAAAATTCTAACGATACAAAGAAGCGCTTCCAATAAAGAAATAGCACAGAAAGAATAGCACCAAACTGGATAGAAATTATAAATAAATTGAGAAATGGACTAGATTTAAGCCCAAGCGCTGCAGAGGCTAGAATCATATGCCCCGTGGACGAGACTGGAAGAAATTCAGTAAGACCTTCTACAAGCGCTATGATAAACGCTTCGAAATAGGTCATTCACTCGACTTTTTAATCGAAATGATAGCGTAGAGTTCTATTATAAAGCCTAAAATAATTACTATTGGAGCTATCACGATTCGTCTCATGCTATAGACATCTTCTTTTGGAAATGAAGCGGTGAGACTTTCTACATCATTGTTGGTGCCCATCATGAGTCCATAACCTAGAAAAATAACAAGAAGCCCTAAAATCATGAGCTGGTAATTTTTCTTACCAAACAATAGAGGGGTGGAATAAGCTGGGGCTGATTCTGTATGTTTTATTTCTACTTTATCTATGTCTAGATTAGTTTTTACTTGTGCTTTTTTTGACATTGTATAGAATGTTTAATTATTTTTTTAATATAGTGAGTCTAATTTCATACGGAGGTACTTATTCACAGCAAAAAATGTACTGATAAATGAAAGTATAACACCTAGCAAAATTAATCCAAAAAATATGATGGACAAATATTTTAATTCTTTTTGCAATTCTATGAGCTGGGTATATTTGTCAAAAAGATATAAAATCAAGACTAAAAGACCCGACGCCA